CTTAAGAAAATTACATACGCAACAAATAGGTGTTACTATAGGGACATTAAAAATTTTAAATCCCCATGAGGAAAACAAATGAAGTAAATTATATTAAAATAAAACTAGAGGTTGATACATTGGCGAAGCACAGCTATACCTAGCCATATATTAAAATTAAGGAATTGGATAAAAAAAATGACAATAGAAGATGTGCAAAACACACAAAAGCTACCAACTAATCAAAGCTCCGGAGTGGATTATGTGCCTTCTGAGTTCTTTAGATGTGTTACACCCATACACAAAAGATAACGCAAGCATTTAATCACATATTCGAAAAGACGTCAGCTAAATAAGAATTTAAATTAGCAACCAATTTTTCAATTTTAAGAAAAAAAATATAGAAAAGCAAGTAATTATGGAGTCATGTATTTTTTAATTTCAATAGCAATAATATTCTATACTGTTATATCTAACAGATTACAGAAGTGGGTTAATGAGTGAATTAATTAATATATTCAATGTGCTGGATGAAAATATTTCAAAACTTTCTAATAAATTTATTTAGCTGAAACTATATCTTATTTAACCGGTAACGACGGACGTGGTCAAATTGACCTATAAATTTGTTTTATAATATTTTTAATTATACCAAAATAATAAAAGAATAAAATATGTTCCAATTTTATGCATTTATGTCAAAAAATTGTTAACCTGGTACTGTCTGCAATATAGGAAACTGAATGGACTACATACTGATTTATTCAACTAACTTATTCTCGTAGTAGAACTCGCAATAGAAGTAACTTATTTATTTTTCTTGGAATTATATTAAATGCAATACAAACGGTAAATTTCACTATTTTAATCATATAGTCTTTCATTTAAGGACTTAATGAGAATTATAATCATCACTTATTGCATTAATATGAATCCACAATAAATATTAATTTTAATTTTAGTAAAATTGCGTTACTTGAATATTTATGTTAAATAGGTTCTAAAGCAATTTCAGATGATGAATTTCCATTAAAACTTAATTAGATATGACATAAAATATGTTTCTTGATCTAAACTATACAATTTAGTCAACTCTTTGTATTTGAATTAAAAGAAAGTCACACTCCCTACAATTTTTAAAGATATAATTCCTTCTACATATTTTATATTTGCACCATCTTATGAAACAGATACTTTTCTATATGAAAACACTAGGAGAATGGAGTACTCATTTCCTATTAAAATTAATAATTACTCTACATAAAGGCAGATTTTAGTCAAACAGTAAAGTCCACTATCTTTCATTCCTACGTTGCAAGAAAACTTAAATTATATTCACCTAGATATAGACACATAAGGCGACTCTTTGCACCAGGATTATAATTCTCAACTTGAATATAATAAGAACTACAGAACAATAGAATTACAGCGACTAACTATTAAAATTTTTAATTGTATAATATAATCATATAATTAAGAAATGCTTTGTTTATAGTTTATTTCCTATAACATTCCTGATCTGTGCTGAGTATTTTTCCCACTGTAGCAGAATAACACTAGGTGCAATTAGGTGCAATTATGTGCTGCAGTACAATATGTACATAGTTCGGCTAATTAACTTTTTAATTCATCTATACAAGAAAAAACTTTATAAAATGGTTTAATTATTTGAAAATTCATAATTTAAACAAAAAGATGATGCGGAACTAATTTAAAATGTTAATATTTTATGTAGGATTTAATATACATTGACTGGGTTACTAATTAATTCAGAAATAAAAAGTAAAAATTTGTGAATTACGGTGCGTATGAGTGACCTGTTAAGAGCCTAATAAATCAATTCTTTTTAATTACTTCTAAAAATAATACCACACTGTAAATTTTTTAAGTAGATTTTTATTTAATCCGAATCAAAAATAAAAAATAAAAATTTTTCCGATATGTTCTCTCTTTTTTTTTTATTGAAAAACCGTGTGATGGTGTGATGTAAAGGATTAATAAATTTTTAAAAGTACTTCGAAGGACAATATCTTCTTGAAATTTTTGGATTTTATGTAGAATTTGATTACTAGAATTTTATTACTAATCGAAATCAAAAATATTATTCAATGGAAATATAGTACGCATGTGCTTGATGTGTTTTGCAGAAAAAAAAAAATTTCAAAAAATTTCAAAAAATAATGCCATCCTGAAAATTTGTATTTCACAGTAAAATTTAAAACTGAATCTAAATAAAATATAAAAAATGAAAATTCTGGTGTTGTTTTGAAAATTTTTTTTTTAAAAATTTAACGCTTAACATTAGTACCTAAATATGAATAATCTTAATTGTTTAAACAATTCCTTAAAAGTTAAATTAGTTATCTTTAAAAAGCAGTGAATTTCAAGTTCCTACCATTTATAAAGCCTGAGATATAGTCATTTGAAAATATGTCCACAATGCCAATTCTCTAAAACGTATGGGTTCATAGCTCCTAGCAAAAAAATTACAAAAATTTTTCCCAAGATACGGGTCTTCTTATTTTATTAAAGGAGCTTAAAAAAAAATTGTCAGCCAATTCTTCGATTCTTCGATCATGAGGTCATTTTTTCCCAAGATACGGGTCTTCTTATTTTATTAAAGGAACTCAAAAAAGAAATTTTTCAGCAAAATCTTCGATTCTTCGATCATGAGGTCATTTTTTCCCAAGATACGGGTCTTCTTATTTTATTAAAGGAGCTTAAAAAAAAATTGTCAGCCAATTCTTCGATTCTTCGATCATGAGGTCATTTTTTCCCAAGATACGGGTCTTCTTATTTTATTAAAGGAACTCAAAAAAGAAATTTTTCAGCAAAATCTTCGATTCTTCGATCATGAGGTCATTTTTTCCCAAGATACGGGTCTTCTTATTTTATTAAAGGAGCTCAAAAAAAAAATTGTCAGCCAAATCTGCGATTCTTCGATCATGAGGTCATTTTTTGTAAAAATCCAAAATCAATTTTTGCTTTGACAAATGGTTCGAACGCATGCAAAAGTATATATTAATAATAAAGGAGAATACTTCGATAAATTTTCATTATTATGCTCAAAATATAAATAGTGTCTCTCGTAGCTGTAAATGAAAAAAGAAAAAATAGAATACTACACAGCTCTTCTATTACTTTCAAGCACTTCAAAAAACTGTGTCATATTCTCTTGACATCCATGTATTATGTATACATTAGAAATAATACCCTAGTTTTTAAGAAAACGATTAAGCTTCCTATAATAAAATATAAGGAATAATTAAAATGGTTACATGCTTTTCGGGGAGGTATGCAGATCTGAAGTCAATTATTGCTTAGTCTGATGAAGTGATAAACAATAACCTAGTCAAGGTGTAAAGAGGGGTTTTGAAAATATCTCGAGTTAAAATGATAGCCAATCCGAGTACTGTTTTTTTCAATAGTTTGTTGATTCTGATCTTCACATTTGGCAGGACCCGAGTTTGATTCCTGGTACTTGCAGTCTCAAAAATAATTATTTACGAATAATTAAATATAAGAATTATTTCCAAGATCACTAATGATGGGTGTTTGGCAATACTCGAAACAGCTGTATGGTCAGCCAAAATATTAATTAATTAAAATAATATAAAAAATAAATTTTTGTTGTTGTAGCTCACTACTGTTCGAAAAACCCTCTTAATAGTTTGTTATGGTAGAGAGGTTAGGGAGGTTTTTAAACTTTTATTTATATATAATAGATTTTAATTTAAAAAAAATTATTTACTGTGTCACCACCTCACCTGTTACCATTTACTTTCTCAATTTAAACAAAAATCATAAAGTGTCTTTAAATATTTAATTATTTATTTACTTTATAGACATTTATGCTCTGATATATACACTTAAGCGCTCTCAGCAAAGAAGAACGGTTTTTAAATAAAATTTTCATATATATATAATAGTTTTCGTAAATTGTTTTTAATTTGAATTTCCAACTACAGATAAAAAATTTTTAACTTTTTTTTTATCATATTTATGATCTACTTTATTTTTTCTTCTATTTTTTTTTTACTATTTCTTTGGATGTTGCTTTTCCTTCAGACGAGTTTCAGAAGATTCGTAATACCTTCGTTCCTTGTTTTGCTTTCTATAAGAGAATCTGTTTTGTTGTTGTTATTTGTTTTTGTTTTTTTATGTATTTTAATATTTTAATATTTTTTTATATTTTTTTGTTATATTTAAATAATTTCATATATATGTATATATAACTTTTAAAGTATAATTCGTATGCATTTTAAGAAACATTAAGACACAATTTGCTAAATACAAGTAGTTAAAATTTTTTTTTTTATTTTTAGATGCAATAAAATTTTGATTTTTAATTATAATGGAATTTGTATTTTGTTTTTTTTTTTTTTGTTTTTTTGTAACTGAATTTGAATTAAAACTTTTAATTTCATTTTTTACATCTTTTTCTTAATAAGAAATTCAAACTTTTTTTCCTCAGCCACCTTTGAAATCAAATATTTGCTGCATATATGCGAGGGCTGCCAAATGAGTTCTTCAAGTTGAGTTCGATTTAATGGAAATTATAAATTAAAAGTTCTTGTTGTGTTTGTTGGTTTATGTGTGTGTGGGTTGCTTAGCCTACATACCTACGTAAAGATTTTTTTTATATATCTTTAACTTACGAAAAACATAATATATATATAGTTTATATTTATACATATATATATATATATATATATATATATATATATATATATATATATTAATATTTAGGAATATATATAATAAATATTTTGAATATATATTTTTCTTTGTTCATATTTTTGATTTAATTCACAAAATAAATAATTTTCGTTTTAATCTTTTGGAGCAATAGTTTAACATTTTATTTGATTTCTTCAAATATATCAATAAATTACTTATAATTTTCTAAATATATATATATGTATATATGTTTATATATAGTTTATTTCATTGTTTTCGAAAATGACTCGTGTATCTTTTTATTATAACTTGTATTTTATATAGTTTTATATATATGTATATATATATATGTATATCAAAATAAGAGGTGAAGTTTGTATTTACAGCTTTTTCTTTAGCTAAGAACTTCATTTCAACTTGTTTTAACATTTGTAATAAGTTAAATAACAAAAAAAAATACTATTATAAAAAAAGAATAAAAACAATTGCAAAAAAAAATAATTTGTGCTCTTTAAGGAGTTTTTATGGAACATTTATGCTTTTATAGAAGTTGAGCAGCACAGATTAACTGCTTAAACTTCGGTTTCGGAACGTCGCCTTCGTCCTGGACCGCCGGGAAAGTTAGCAGCTGCCAAGCCCATGCGATGTTTAGCTTCTTGAGTTCCAGAGTAACCGCGAGCCAGACCAAAATCAACTGTACGTTTTGAGCTGAAAAAACAAACATATATAAATATAAATAAAATTTTATTTAGAGTATATGACAGAGAATCTTTCAAAAAAAAAATAGTAAAAAGTGAGTAAATTTACACTATATGCCAAGATTGCTTATTTATTGATATATTAAGCAGGGACCGTTATCACTAAAAAACAGTAATCATTAAAAAATAAAAATCTCTTTATAACTGTTACCATTCACATTTTAAAATAAAACTCAAAATATAATAATTAAATTTGTTTTATATTATATTTATCAAAAATAATTATTATTGGTATGTGCCTTTTATTTTTTTCACGCACAAATAACTCTTACTCTGTGCTTTTTATTTTAAAACGCACAAATAATTGTTATTTTTGCTTTAAAAATATAAAAACCAGGAATAACTTTTATTTTTGAAAACAGAAAATAAATTAGACGGTATGCTTGATGTTTTTAAAAATTAAAATAAAAAATGCATTTTTCATAATAAATAAGCTTCATCCAACAAGTCCAACTTATGATTAGTTACGGCATTATTGAGGACCAAGAGATCAATCATAATACTCTTCAGTACCTTATAAACTGAATAAATAAATGATAATAAATGTAGCTTCATTAATGGTGAATAAACAAATGGTTTTTACTAACATTTTGTTACAAAAATTAAAATTTTATTACTATAATAATAAAGAGGTTTTTTCGAATAGTAGTGAAGAACAATAACAAAAATTTTATTTTTTATATTATTTTAATTAATTGAATTTTTGGCTGACCATACAGCTGTTTCGAGTATTGCCAAACACCCATCATTAGTGATCTTGGAAATAATTCTTGTATTTAATTATTCGTAAATAATTATTTTTGAGACTGCAAGTACCAGGAATCGAACTCGGCTCCTGCCAAATGTGAAGCTCAGAATCAGCACACCTTAACCAACTGATCCAAAGCCGTACTTGACTTTTTTGTTCGCATATTTTTCTGGAGTTTTGTTACTTTTACTATGAAAGTTTTTATTAACAATTTTACTTGCTGTATTTATATTAGAACGAAATCATAAACCAGCTGTAGAATAATTGAATTAATTAATTAATTATAATTTTATTTTCAATTGTTCAATTTCAATACTATTCTAATTTCTATATACTATTCTATTACTATTCTGTTACTATAATAATAAAATATAAATAGAATTAAATTATAAGTCCTGTTATTTTGAAGTTTCATTTCCGTTTCTCAAATGTAAGTAAATTAAGGATTTCCTTTATTTCATTTATTCAATTTACAAGAAATATTTGTATACAGGATGCTTCACATGTCTGTTTTAATTATAGAATATAGAACTAAAAAAGCTTTTCGTTAAAAATCATATCTTATTTGGAAAAGGGTTCATGCATAGTTTTAAGAGAGTTTGAACCAAGTTGGTGAAAGCCTCCCTCGATTGTTCTTCGTAACCGTATGAATGCATGGAAATCGCTGTAATATTATATCTAGAAGAAATGTGACTATTACTTTGGTAAGCAACTGTCTTCAGAAAGAATCACAAGGGTTTAAGCATATTTTCAACATTTTCTTCTATATTCGAGAAAAACTCATTGCCAAGCGGTTAATAAAAATGATTTTTGACTTTTAAGTTTTTGTAAAAAATCTGTCTGATATGATCAATTTTATGGAAATCAGTTCATGGGTTTAACAGGCTATTATGACACTTATAACAGAATTTGAAGTGAACAAGTAAAGAAGTTAGTGTTGATTTTGAAGAAACTTAGATATCCATTATATAGAATTAAATCTACATTAAGATCTCATTCAGTTGGCATAATATTATTATATATATTATATATGTATATATATGAATATTATGTATATTATTTATATATGTGTACATATTATATTTATATTAATATATATATATTTATATATATATAATAACATATGTGAAACATAGGATATAGAAATGCTAATAACGCTTATATTTTCTAAGCTATTACAGTCTTTGGTGTAGATGGCAGTACACATCATAAAGAATAAGATATAGTATAAGTTGGTATAACGACTACATCTAAATCTGAAGTAAAGTGATTTTATTGTTACCACGAATATTCTCTTGTATATCAGAAACGTAAATTCAAAATTAGAAGCGAATATATAAAAAAAAAACAGTTTTTATAGGAGAAATATGTTCTTAAATCATCGGTTCATATCGACCTCGTCAAATTCCATTCTACCTAATGCAATAATATTTGGTTGGAGCGATAGATCAGCAGAATACCTTACAATTCCCATAATCAGCGATTATTCATCGACTTACTATCACCTGAATCGTGGTAATAACTAGATTAATCCCCTTGAATCTAGGTGATTTAAGAGATCTTTTTTTCTTGCCACTTAGTAGTCAGCACAAACTTTCAAAGAAATACTTCCAAACATATTTCAGAGTCACAGAAGAGACGCTTAATTAAATTGTACTTAAGTTTTAATATACATATGTTATACCGCCTGATGATTGAAAGGCGGTCTTTAAAATTTTCTATTTAAATGTTATACTAAACTATGATGTTATATATACTTTTGAAGCACCCTTTACTTGCAATGTAATTGGAAGGCGGACTTTAAAATTTTCTATTTTAATGTCGACCTATTTAAGCAATTGAGTGTGTGCATGCACATTCATGTCTAACTTAAATGAGTAGTAAATTAATCTTGAAGCATATTTTGTAACTACTTCAACAATGTAAATGCATTTTATATTGCTTACTTTAGAATTCATTCACTTACTTTTCCAAGTCGTTGCGAGCCCTCATAATAGTTTGTCCAAAGCGTGCCATCAATTCCATTAAAATGTCATCAGGGACTTCTTCCAATTCATTGTAGTAACCGTTGCTCTGGCTGTGTATCGAAACAGAAATTTAGTTATAATAAATTTTTACGTAAATATATATCTGTAAATGTGCTACGTTATTAACATTGACATTGACATTGATGACTGAATCCACCAGAAAGCAAAATTAAACAACTTTTCCAACAACTTGAGAGAGTGATTATATTCAACAACTCAGCTCAACTCAGCTCAAATGCAGTCATATACATTTTATATATACAAATACAGGTGAATATATACAACCACAGATACATATATAGATATATTGCTGGAATTTTGTATTTAGTAATTCATGAATTATTTATCTAATTATTGCTTTCTGGTAAAGTCTGTGGCATCCATTAATAAACATGTCAATGAAATATGTAAATAATTCTTAACAAGTATTCCTGTGAACTCTCAATTACCATAAATACCTGAAGCAAAGGTAATGAAAATAATCTTTGTCAAAATGAATGCAGATACTTTTGGCCTTTTAAAGTTTGATTCACATGATTAAAGAAAATTCAAAATGAAGACTAGCACTAGTAGTGCATACTTACATGCATACATTCATACACATATACGCATACAAATATTTCAATTATAACAGCAGAAAATACATTTTAAATGATAATTTAATGAAAATAGAAAACACTATATTCCCATCTATAACCATGTTAGCACTATAGAGCTGTTGATAACCTGATTTAATATTAATACTGAGGATTGCAATTAATGAAAAGAAAAAATTTTCCAGATATATCTGTTAAAATTGATATTTCCGGAAGTTAAGATCTCATAAAAGAAAAACTTGAAATCAAAAATTTGTAAAATGATAATTTTTCTAGTAAAACATCCTATTAAATCCTATTTTGTCAGGTCAAAATATAAGAAGTCTAAGAAAAAAATATAAAAGAAATTACGATTAGTCATCGCTTCTAATTTAACAGGCACGAGTTCTAAGCCGGGCATTTGCAGTCCAAACAAATTGTATACGGACTATAAACTAATTAAGAAATTAGAATATTTCTTTAGACTACTGATGATGAGTACTTAACAACACTCGAAACAACGTTGTAGGTATGGTCAGCCAAATTTCAACAAATTAAATAAATTTTTGTCTTTGTCTTTTCCTTGCTATTCGAATCCGTCTAACATTGAAATCTTTTTTATTCCAACAAAACTTTTTGATGTTCATACAACGTTGTTTCCTCATAGTTGAGAGTACAAATGATACAAATGTTTGAGAAGCTTAAGTGATACAGGTGATGTGTCAAGGTGGTACTGAATATACAATAGAGCCATTCAATATATCTAAAACAAATTCATATGGACGATATTGAAAGAAGAAAGCAAAATAAGGTTTCATTTTTAAGTGTAATCCAAATCAAAGAAGTCCACTAGAGTTTTCATGTCATGCAGATCTATTATAGGAAAAAATTGGGGTTGTATTCCGAAAAAATTATTTGAATTCAGACAAAAATTGTCGGGTCTGCACATCCGCTATACCCTAACTCAAACAATAATTAAAATATGTGCTAAACTTCATAAAAAGTCACATATGAAACTTGCATATATGCATATCTAGCCGCAAGTATTAGTACATTATAAATCAGAGTACAACTGCTAGGATCACAGTAGTAATGATCTCTTAATAATTTCTAACTTCGGCACAAATTCTTTGCAAGTATCATGTGAATCAATAAAATCAACAAAATATGATATATGATATATAAGTCAAATATATTGGGTTTACAGAAAGTATGAGCAATTGATATGGTGTGATGGAAAACTAGTACATAAGCTTTATACGCTATAAGCTTTTAACACAAACTGCTGTTATAGTTGTAGAATGTCCCATGTGTCAATGTATCTCTAAGAGGCATCATTTTACAACATCAACACTTTACATTATTTAACATATATTGAACAGTCAATACGTTAATTGTTTGATGCCGATTTCATATATAGATAACAGATATATTATTTGTATACATAGATCTATAATACTCTTATGTGGGTACAGGGACATGAAGGGCATGAGGACTCCCTAGCAAAAGGTGCATGTATTCCTTTCATTGGTCTGGAAGCCCTTCTGCGGGTTAACAAATAGGTTCACAAATAACTTATTAACATATATAAACGGAAGTAACAAAATCAATTTAAACACTGAAGAGCAATCATAGTGCAGTCAAGAAAATTCATTGATCCTGAACACAACAAAGTTGACGCTAACCTTAGCAGAAACGATTTTAAAATCTATACTAAACTTCTTACAGAGCATTGTAGACTCATTTACCAGATGAAGATTATAGATGCGGTAGAAAGTGATTCCTGTCGACTCTGTCATAAGGAGAAGGAAACATGAGAATAAATTCTATGCAACTGCCCAACGGCGGCAAGACATAAACTTGCCTATCTTCGAAGCGGGATCTTAGACCCACATCAAATAGGTAAAATTAAGCCAACACAACAACTACGAGATTTATAAATAGTCTAGAATTATTTTAGTTTGGTTCTTAGGCGCACAATAGATTATTTAGGTCAGGGTGCATTCATAGCGTATTATTTAATAATAATAATGCTAGGAACTTGTCAGAAAAGTTTATACCAACCGAAAAAGAAGGTCTTAATACTCACTAATCTCTTCATAGAAAATAATTACTTTTATAAATAAATGTACGTGCAGGCTGAATTATATACGAGTATCTAATGTTAACTACAAATGGACTGAATTCTACATTATAGCTCAATGCTTATTGAGACAAGAATGATTTTTATTAGTTAACTCTTAGCTGGAAAATAATACAATGGTCCTTATATATATTATATGTCTGCTATTAGAGAAAACTCAAGTAGTGACATTATGCTCACTTCAAAGCACATTTGTTTTCTGTACAGTTAGGTTCCGTTGTAGAACCAAATATCTACAATGGTCGCAATGCTCAGTTTCGTGTAAAGCTAATACAAATTTATTCTATATATATGTAATTATATATTTTCTATTTATATATATTCTATTCTGAGCTGTGAGTATATAAAAAATTGAACATTTTTTTGTGATATGTATTGAACAAATATTTCGAAAGTGGACGATATATTGTCCGCTTTTACTGGTATCATCTTTTGTTATATTACTTCAACCAGATTAAAATGCTGAATATACAACTTCAGGTGTTACGAGTATTAGAAAAAAAAACAGCTTACGAGTATAAATACTCGTAAATGTGTACAAGGAAAATACTTTCATTATAAATTATTTTTATTAAATAGAAGTTATAAAAAAATATTCTTTTTTTAGTTTCAGTTTGTCACACGAGTCGTTACACATTTATATGCTACGCAGAGAGTGCCGAGGATGCCATAAAAAGTATCTCAAACTCGAGCATCGTTATTCGTATAGTAATTGCAGGCTTATTGCACTTCAAAAAGATGACAACGCCAACCTTAATGCCAAATACTTGCCTCAGTTGCGTCTGTTAGTCAATGTTTACTGGGCTGTGCAAATCTGGTAGAAGTGCTTCTACTCAATTTCGATTTAGTCGACATGAAAAGCGATTAAACTCTTATGAGCAAGTATTTCGAAGTGAGTGCGTTTCACCGACTGAAAATGGGGTTGAATAGTGTGGAAGTATCCGTATAACAAAGATAAATAAACTTTAAGGACTGGAAAGCTTTCAGCAAGCTGACATAGTTCAAGAAATATTAAAAATTCTAATATTTTATGTTTTGAAATATGTACGGAAATTTAGTATTTTTCTCTTATCATTAAGAAGAACTTATGTTTATTATATGAAAATCTATATAAAAAATTGGATAAACAAATATTAATAAATTTTTCAATTTATGAAAAATCAAGTCGGTGGGATATAAGAATATACTAAGTGTATCTCGCTGAAAACAGTATATATGCTTTCAATTTTAGTCGATCAATAAAGTAATATATACATGCATGATATTGTACTTAAATTACAATATGAGTAGTTTTTTTTTTTTTTTGAATTCTATTTTAATATACTTTGGTGAAGCCCTTTAACTTCCTTCTCAGTTAAACACGAAATGATTTTTAGTTTTGAAGTAATCATAATTTTGATTCCCAGTAGTAACCAAACTTTAGTTGCTTTAATTCAGTTCAATTCAATTCAATTCAATTAATTATAATACATTGAATTCTAAATGCATTTATTAGTATTTAAAATTATAATTATTGACAGAAATAATAGCATACTATAATGTCTAATGTTCTATGGCGGAACATTGTCACATCTAACAAATCTCCTTGGTTGAAGGTTCCAGACTTTATTCGATATAATGATAGTCACGTATAAGTACTGAAATGGCTTCAGTTCCTTTAAGACCAACTTTAAAAATAATGGTTAAAAAAAGCACATTCAGTTAAAAACTAGTGGTTGAATTAACCACTAGTATCAACAACCTATCAACATTATTGTTCTTGTCTCTGGAATCGCATACTAATATTTGCTGAAAGGATCTTGTGGTTGAAGAAAGTATATCTTGACGAAAGACAGCAGGAGCAAGCACATGTTTCACACCTACATGAAGAACAAGGTTAATCACCTGTAGAAGTAGCGGGACCTGGACGCAGATCACACCGAGGGAAGTCTTAAATGACTAAAACTTCGAGACCTTTACTCGAAGTAATACTAGCATAGTCTTAGGGTAGGACAAGGTCTTTAGGAATGAGGTAAAGTGATTTAGTTAGTAGGAGTCGGGCACTCATTTTCCGGGGCGCCGCATTGTAAGGGATTGCCGTACAAAAAAAAAAAAAATAAACTCTTGCTTCAGGCTTTCGGAAGTGGGAAAAGTCTGCTTAAGAAGTCTGTTCGCAATCAATATTTCGAAGTACAGAAAACATGTGACAAATGTCAAGATCCATGTGTACCTAACAGCATTTTTTATTGTTTATTTTTACTAGGATCCCCATGTCTAAATACTTTATTTAAAATAAGTTTCTAACAACTTAACATTTCCTTATAAAAGTTTTTACTTTTTTCATCCATTTAATTCTTTAATGAAAATTAAATAATATTTTAATTTAATATTGGTTTCATCTACATTTTTTTAATGATTTTAATTTTGTTTTTAATTAAATAGGTCATAGCTGCAATTGATAGTACTCAGCATCGAACACATGATCAATCATGGTTATTATGTCATTGAGGTTTATTATTGACTTAAAAGAAAGCGATTAATTTTACAAATAGGTTCGATTTGTATATAGTTTATATGTACTAACATCAAGGGCTAAATTATAAATTTGGGTTCATCGAAGAAATGACTTCTACCTTTAATGAATACTTTGAAAATTTTAACGTAATGCAATATTCAAAACGGTTATAGACTTCGTATATTAATATGTTAATTACAGGATACGTATAACTTAATATCTATTAAATATAGTAATAAATCAGCAATAGTAATAAATTAACAAATAGTTAAGATTAAAAAAAAAATTAAATATATATATATATATATATGTATTAATTGATATATTGAATTTATAGGAGATTATGGGAGATTCATTAAAAAATGAACAACAACGAATAATTCATTTACTCTATGAAGAGCATTCAATTAAATCATAAATATTGTATTTAAATATATTTCACATATAACATATCTACATATATATTCTATAACAAAATGCAGATTATTTTATTTGTATTATTTTTAAGATCATATGCGCAATGCCCAAAACTAATGCAACTCAATATTTTATTTAATTATTAAATCAAATTATTAATTAATTAAATTATTATTATTATTAAACAAATTAATTAATTAACATTTGTTTTAACATATTCTGGTTCACTGATATTGCGAAGCATGCATTTTTTTTAAATCTAATAGAATTTGATATAAAACTTTATATTAATTAAAGAAAATATGGAAATTTTATATCAAACCGTTTATATTTGTGTATGTAGAATCCAGCTCTAAGAATGGTGGGTGTGGCACATGACCGATGACTTATTTTAAACTAAACTATAAAGCTGATTTCTAACTTTAATAAGCAACATCTGTTTATAACAAATGTCATATGCATTTATTAAATGTATGAACCGATATCAGGGACATCTATTTTATAGATTATTCTATAAAACATAACGGACAAACGGACATTTTACAGTCTATATGACTTCAGAGCTATGACAACATTCGTTGTTCACAAATCATAAGTGACCTAAGTTAATAACTTTGAGCATATGACATATGAACTGAATTTAGAGCTTGTCAAAAAATACCACTACCTGGGCATCGGAGCGCCATCAGCCGTTGACACCAGCACCAAAAACAATGCAATAACGACAGCCAAGGAGCAATATTTAACCTTATTCGACATCATCATTTTGGTTGCTGTAAAGAAAATTAAATTAAATTAATATAAATATTAAATGTATTTTGTTTATTTTGTATATATATATATATATTAAAAGTTAGTTATTTATTCTTTTTAAAAAGTTTTATATTGAGAGTTTACTACTGCAAAGTGGCATAGAAAACAGCAAGGGAACACATTGGATGATTGCATCTAATGCTTTCATATATGTTATCTGAAAAGTAGCTCTTAAAATGACGTTCACATATTTAAAAATTTCGAATGTGATAATATTTATAACAACAAGAACAATTCTGTCTTTGAATGTAAGAAATGCGTAAATAAAGAATATACAAATAAATAATTTTTCCATTAATATTTGATCACCTATTCAATTACTTTAAAAATGCTTGAGTATTACAATCCAATAAATTTATTTATTATCATCATTATGAAAAAGATATAATACACTGCGACCCAATAGATCTATTGTACCCTTTAGTCGGATTAGAGTGCTTCACCAAATCCGATTTCTTTTATGAAAGACAGTACAGGGCCCATCTTTTCCAGTCTTGAGTTCCTACATTAAGACCGAAAAGTTTTCGGAAATTCTCATTTAAAATTCGCGCGCTGTATATTTTTCGATATTTTAAGTTTATGTAGTTTGGCAGAAATTAAGGACAATTACTATGCCAAAAAATGAGCGCGATCTGTCAGACAGTTCGTTTACGGCAGCTGTTGAAACCAGTTCACCTCAGTAGTGCGTTGCGAAAAAAACAATGGAAAAAAATATTGAACAAAGAGTTTGCATCAAATTTTGTGTTTCGAACGAAATTTCGTGTGCAGAATCGTTGCGAATGCTACAAAAGGCTTATGGGGAATCAGTTTTATCGAAAACTCAAGTTTATGAGTGGTACAAAGCCTTTCAGGACGGTCGTACGACCGTCGAAGACATTTCGCAACGCACTACTGAGGTGAACTGGTTTCAACAGCTGCCGTAAACGAACTGTCTGACAGATCGCGCTCATTTTTGGCATAGTAATTAAGGACAGGGCTGCCAAACTACATAAACTTAAAATATCGAAAAATATACAGCGCGCGAATTTTAAATGAGAATTTCCGAAAACTTTTCAGTCTTAATGTATGTTCTATGAAACACCATTTTAGGTGTTTTTTTCGCTTAAGCATCAGTGCCGGGCGCTCCACTAACACATGGTAAGCGGTTTCTCTCTCTTCTCTACAGTATCTACAGTCTGAGTTGGATTGGAATCCTAACTTTGTTAGATGATTATTCAATCTATAGTGACAGGTTAATAATACCTTGCGTTTTAGTTTGTATTTCCCTAAAAGCATTTTAGATTGTGATTGCGCCATTTAAAAGAATGGATAGAGTTCTTTTGTCTAGACCACAGAAAGATTCTGAGCTTATCATTATTGAAGCCGCGCCACTTCTTGCGTGTTTGTCTACAACACGGTTTCCAAGCATGTCCCAGAATCCATATTAAGTGCACTTGATTGTTTCAGCCAAATATGTTCAATTTAGTGTAGTTAAATTTAACATATATCAGGGACATTGAATATCTCTCGAAAAAAGGAAAAAAACTGTATCTCTTAAAAATATCGGTTCACGTTATTTCATAAGCGCCGTAGAAGACTAGAGGGAAGTACTAAATACCGAGAATAACATTAGGCGTTATTTAGTTGAATCAATAGTGAATCAATAGTAATAATTTATTAAAGTGCATTATTGAAGATATCAAAACAAATTATCTGAAAGTTTGTATTTTTAAGCAATAAATATATATTAAAGTAAAAATTAAAATTTATTTAAATCGAAAAAAATAATTTTTTTCTTTTTTGACCTATTGGTATTTTCCTGAACTTGTGTGAAACATTAAGATACTTTTGTGGACGTTTTTTTTTGTACTGTACAAGGGTTTAATTATTTTTAAAATTCATTAATATAAAGTTTCAATTACGTCGGTAATTGTTGCGTTTACAATGTGTAAATAATATTATAATTTAATATCTTTTACCAAAGTTCATTTAAACAGCATAAATATCATAAAGATAACTTAATTAAGTTCTCATAAAATTTCATACCAAAAAATTGTCATTATTATTTACATATATAATTTATTATATTGCAACTTCATCACATAATGGAAACTTATCGAACGATTACCATACGAAGTATCTATAAAGCTTTCACTGTATAGTGCGTGCCTAACTACATGTATATATATAATATGTATATATACTCGTATGTATCTATGAATTTTTATTAAGTTCATTAAAATTGTATTAATCGCACCGATAAAAAGGCAGAATAAAATATTATCAACTCATTATACAAGTTATACCAAAAATAAAAAAAAAAAATATGTGTTCAGCTAAGGCACATATAAGCCGATTATTAGATTCGAAAAGATAACAATGGCTGCAGCAAATCGACTTTGATTGATCAATATAATAATTAATGTAAAAGAGAAGGCTCATATACATTATAGCGACAAGTCAAAACCATACACGATTTAGTTTTATTACCAATTGTCTCTGCTGGTTAAGAAGTTCACATACTGACAACGATGATGATGATATGTGGTATGAGATATCCACTCAATATATTCTCACTTTCACGCACAGCATAGAACATTCAATAGATCAAGTAGATTACATAAAAATAAAAATCTTTCCTAAGGTTAAGCATTGCAGAGAATTATTATCACAAAAACTAGAGTAGTGTTCCAAAGCTTATTAGGCCTTCCGAAGTCTAAAATTCCTTAATGAAAAAATTTAAAAAATACGCAAAGTCGAAATTGAAAATACTCGTGTTGTATTTACATCAAGTTTATAGATACTATATATATGAAGATGATTGTTTTGTTATGAGAAAGTTTTAAAAAAATTATAGGGATTTATTATATAAAACAGTAAATTAAAAACCTAGCTTTTTTTTAATTCTTCAAATTTACTATTATTTTGCTAAAAATATATATACCTACCACCCATATTTATTTCATTTTTTATCGTTACTTATTACAGAATACATTTTCTATACCAAATGTCCAAAACGATTTTTGGGTGGAAGAGTTGAAAAAATGTGTATGTCTGGAGATGGTTCTTTTAAAATATGGATGTATGTATGGGATATTAAAGAAATCCTTTTCTTTTCAAAATATATTTCTTCTCATAACGCAAAAATAAATTGAGAAAGCATAATTTCCGATAGTTATGCTAATTTATATAGCTGTTGCTTATGCGTTAGTTTTAATTAATAATACAGTAATCGAAGGGTGTGCAATTAATAAAACTCTAAGTTTAAGCCAACGAACGTTTTCAATGATCACTATTGGAAATAGAAAGGTGGCCAGTGAATTTTAATAATTTTAAATATCAAAGAAAACTCTTAATCAAAAACAACATATAGTATTTAAAATAGCTTGCGTGTTAGACCAATTCTAAATACAACAAATATCCAATGAAAAGCAAGTAATATCTAAACTCTATGCTAACTTGATGGTAAACTTTAACAAATTCGAAAATTATTATTGTTTAAATATAATTAAAGGTTATAAAGACTAGAGTGCAGACTTGTCTAACAGCATCCATGGATGCTGTTAAAATACTGGGTCTATATACGGACGCAAACTTCAGATTCTGCGAAGAGAATGAGGAGTCAGCCCCACATGTGCTGTTAAAATGCTCTGCACTAATACACAAACGGAATAGACTCATGGGAATGTGTACCCTTACGGAAGAGGCAATAAGATTTTGTAAAGTAGATTCTATATTTTATATTTCAATATATAGTATTTATATATATACTATAGTATTTTTTAAAAAACCTGTTATCCAAACCTGTTATAGTATTTAAAAAAAAAAACCTTCTATTCAAAAATATTTGTACACAAGAATTTGGTTAGATTACAAGGAACTACTGAACCAACACCGTTTGTATTAGAATAAATCTGCCTTTCGAACATTTAAAATGTTGGATCCAAATATTCGATATCGAGCATAACCGAGCTTTCCGAATATCGTATTGCTTCATATCTATGAAATACTTGTGTCTGGCACTCTGTATAATTTCCATTATGTATAAATATATATATATATATATATAAATATATATTGTACAGTGTAAATGGTGCATAATTTTTCTGTGACATGTCTACTGAATGTACTAATGTACACCCCATGCGGGTTTGGCTTGTTTGACTGCTATGCAGTCTGTGTAGACATTTACAACGTTTAACGAATATTGGATTTATTTTCCTATGCAGTGACGCATATACGAGTCACGAATTTTATTACTTTCAAAAAAATTCTCGACTTCAGATAAAACTTTGAAATAATCCAAAGGTAACGTAAGCAAAATTCAATATCTTTCTGCTTTTGTTTGCTTTATTCAATAATAATATTAACATTTACATATTTTTATATAGTATAATAACACCATAGCACTCCATTTTCGTTCAATGTTCATGCTCCCTCCATATTTATATACGTCTGTTAAATATATTAAGCCTCACTGTCATAAATGGTGCTGAGTAGTCGAGAGTTCATCACAAACTTAAATGAATGAATACTCGTTTAAATAAATTATAATTATTGTTATGTTATTAAAATTAATGCTATAATAAAATTAACATAACATTAATCACATAATAGACGTGCTTTGCTCTACGAATTGCAAGGCTACAATACTTTACATAACAAAAGCTACGGATGGATGGCTGTCGGAATTTACGAAAACCCTGTCAAAGCGGTTTAACTGCATTTCAGGCACAAAATAAAAACTTTAAATAAATAAATTAAATTAAGTAGACTAAAATAAACGAAATAAATTATTGAGAATCACAACAAAAACCACGATTTTGTCCATATTTAAAATGCATTAATACCATCACGTTTAAAATAAGATAATACGACACATACTCGCTCACATTATTTATTGATGGTTAATTTATGGAAATCGCTGATTTCGTAATTATTATAGGATGCACATGTACAATAAGTCCTTTAAGTAA